TCCTCCTCCTCCTCCTCCTCCTCCTGCCCCTTCACCCCCCCAGAGTGCTCGGGACCTTCCTCTTCTCTCTCCTCTTCCTCCTCCTGACCCCCCCTCCTCCCCAATGCCTGGGACTTCCCCCTCTTCCTCTCCCCTCCCTTTAACGACCCCTTAATTATTTAACGCGCTTTAATTACCCCACCGCTGCCTCAGTTTCCCCACGCCGTCACCCCGCTGCCACCCTCCCCAGCTCATTGGGGGACAGCGGCCCTGTCCCATCCCCCCCTCCCCACTGTGTGCCTCCACCCCCCACCCCGTGACCCCCCAAAAAAGTCCGAACTGGGTCAGCGGGTGCCCCCCAGCCCCCGCTGACGTCACGGCCTTTTGTCCCCAGCGTCGCTTTTGTCCCCGCAGCCGCCGCACGTGGCCCGGCCGGTGCCACCCCCGGGGCCACCGGGACCCCGAGACACCCGGCCGGGGGGGCCGCGGGGACGGGGGGGACACGAGCTCCGCCGGGTCCCCCCCGGGGCCGGGAGGACCCCAAACAGGGGCTGTCCCCAGAGGGGGGGCTGATGCCACCCGGGAGCGATGGGGACCTGGAAACGGGGAATGGCACCGCACCTGGGCATGGCAACACACCTGGGCACACCTGGGCACGGCCCCGCACCCGTGTGACCCCGGCTGTCACTGGTGTCCCCAGCACCTCCAGGTCCCCAAATTTCGGGCTCAGCCCTTTCTCCCAGCCGGGCGGTGTTGGTGTCCCCATGGGGGTGGCACTGTCCCCATCCTTGTCCCCATGGGGGTGGCAGTATCCCCATCACCCTGTGTCCCCATCCCTGTCCCCGTGTCCCCATGGGGGTGGCAGTGTCCCCATCCCTGTCCCTAAGGGGGTGGCAGTGTCCCCACCCCTGTCCCCATGGGGGTGGCAGTGTCCCCATCCCTGTCCCCAAGGGGGTGGCAGTGTTCCCATCCCTGTCCCCAAGGGGGTGGCAGTGTCCCCACCCCTGTCCCCATGGGGGTGGCAGTGTTCCCACCCCTGTCCCCATCACCCGGTGCCCCCAGCCCTGCCACACGCCTGCCACCATCCCCGCAGCCCTGGCAGGTGTCACCACGGTGGCCACCAGGGTGGCCTCTGATCAGCCCCTGCAGGTGGCCACCGCCTCCTCGCGGGGACGCGCTAATGAGCCACCACGCTGTCACCGTGGTGTGCCCGGTGCCACCGCCGTGTCCCCGGTGCCACCGCGGTGTGCCCGGTGCCACCGCCGTGTCCCCACGGCCACGTCCAGCTGCCACCCTGCAGGACACCTGGGCACGCGGGCACAGCCTGGGCTGGACACGGGGACACGGAGGGGACACGGAGAGGACATGGAAGGGGACATGGAGGGGACATGGAGGGGACATGGAGGGGGACATGGGGGTCTGCCAGTCTTTGGGGACACAGGATGATGGGGACAGGGATGGGGACACTGCCACCCCCATGGGGACATGGGGACAGGGACGGGGACAGGGATGGGGACAGTGCCATCCCCATGGGGACAGGGATGATGACGTGGAGCCATGGGGGGGGGGGGTGCGGGTTAGGGCAGCAGTCGGTTGCTATGGAATCCCGTTGCTATGGAATCCCGTTGCTATGGACCCCGTTGCCATGAGCCCCCTGTCGGTTTGGGGCCCGTTGCTATGGAGACGGACGCTCTGAACGGCGTTGCCATGGAGCCCATGGCTATGGGACACCCCGTTGCCAGGGACCCCGTTGCCATGGTCCCTGTTGCTAGGGACCCCGTTGCCAGGGACCCCGTTGCCATGGTCCCCGTTGCCAGGGACCCCGTTGCCAGGAACCCCGTTGCTATGCACCCCGTTGCCATGGTCCCAGTTGCTAAGGACCCTGTTGCCATGGTCCCCGTTGCCAGGGACCCCGTTGCCAGGGACCCCGTTGCTATGCGCCCCGTTGCCATGGTCCCCGTTGCCATGCTCCCCGTTGCCATGGTCCCCGTTGCCATGCTCCCCGTTGCCATGCTCCCCGTTGCCATGGAGCCCCCGCCGCAATGTGCCCCGTTGCTATGGAAACACGTCGCTGCGGACCCCCGTTGCTATGGAGCTCCCGTTTCTATGGGCTGCCGTAAGTCACCGCGCTGCGGCGCCGCCAGGTGTCGCGAACGCCGCCGGAGGGGCGGGGCCGCCGGGAAGGGCTCCGCCCCCTCGCCGTGTCTGGGCCAATCAGCTCGCGGTAACGGAGAGGAAGGGGCGGAGCCTGGGGAGCGCAGCCGGAACCGGTCGGTGGGGCCGGGGGGACCCCGGGAGAGCCCGGTAAGGACCGGGAAACAGCCGGGAAACAGCTGGGTAACAACCGGGTAACGGCCCGGTAACGGCACATCCCGGGAGAGCCCGGTAAGGACCGGGAAACAGCCGGGAAACAGCTGGGTAACAACCGGGTAACGGCCCGGTAACGGCACATCCCGGGAGAGCCCGGTAAGGACCGGGAAACAGCCGGGAAACAGCTGGGTAACAACCGGGTAACGGCCCGGTAACGGCACATCCCGGGAGAGCCCGGTAAGGACCGGGAAACAGCTGGGTAACAACCGGGTAACGGCCCGGTAAGGGCACATCCCGGGAGAGCCCGGTAAGGACCGGGAAAAGACCGGTAACAGCCCTGTACGGTTCGGTACCAGCGCGGTGACAGCCCGGTTACAGCCCGGAGACTCCAAACTGCGCGGGGACCTCTCCCAGTACAGACCAGTGAGTGCTGCCCCC